AAATACATTTCTACCTGTCTAAATTATTCTCAGTGTCCTTTCGGTTGGTCAGTCCTAACTCTGAAAGTAAAGGTGAACTTCAGTGGTTTTGTCAAAGCTTGAAATCTGCATGGAATAGAAAATAGAGAGTTGGTTGTAAGTGACAGACTGGTTTTGTCGACATGTCTATAGGCTTTCTAAGACTTAGTGGTAGCAAACGTGGTAGCGTATGTTTCGGTCAGATTTGGAGGTTTCCTGCCCCTTGCCCCACCGGGTCCCAGCCCCAGGAGTGAACAGTTTGCACATTGCCCTTGACGGGCTGGCTCAGCCGCTGGATGCCGTGGTGTTGGAGGAGTTTATTCACCCATCCTTCTGCTTTGCTGAACCCAAAAAGGGGTCTTGCTTATCTGATGACTTCACTTGTTCTGAGGAGAGGCGGTTTTTGTTGTCGATTACAAAAAATGCCCTGGTGGTAACGCGAGCTCATTGATAAGGTGGCTTTTTTTTTTTCTTCTTTTAAAAAGGATTTTAGCACCAGGATAGTAGTGGAAACCACTTTAGGTTTGTTTATGGACCACAAAGATTATGGAGGAACAAATTTTGCAATTTATTTTTTTTTTTGTAAGTCTAAAAATCATGGATCTGCTGTATGTAGTTAACTTGCAGTTTCTTTGAAGGGGTCCCATCAGTGAAGTGGAAACAGATTTTTTTAACTGACTGCTTTTAGTTAAATCTAAAATTACTGTCTTTGTCAAGTTAATCTGTTCCCTGCCTCGCTCTTTGTAAGCATGTTAAACAATCCACATGAAATGCCATAAATATGAAATACGAGGAAATGGTACAATCTTAAGCTAAAGAGAACTTAAACCAAAAGGAGGTTTTGCTGTCCTTATTATTAGAATGTTCTAAAATGTCAAGGCAGTTGCTTGTGTTTAACTGTGAACAAATAAAATGTATTGTTTTGCACTACTCTGTGTTAAATTCCCTGCAAGCCAACCCCTTTGGGACTGAGCTGTGCTGAGACAAAACATGCAGAGACAAGTTCGGTGTCGAAGCATCTTCCAAGATCTGCATAGTACAGATAAGTGGTTCTGCCCCTTTTTGCACGGGGTTCATCATTAGAAGCTCATTTTTCTGCGTGGAGCCAAAGCCTTTTTTCTTCTGTGACAAACAAACTCAATGACGACGTGCCAGTGTCATCCATAACTGCAAACAATTCAGTCCTGCAAATCTGCGTATTAGCTTTATGGCATTGTTCGTGTAGTCCAGAGACTACCCAGTAATTAGACAAATTAATAGCTGAAAATGTCAGAGCCTGTTGTTTGCAAAGCTGGGGATACTGTCAGAAGCTGGCCAGCTCGCTCTGTCCTGTCGACACACTTTCCTGTACCCTGCTCAGGAGTCGCTGCACACAGGAGGACAGTTTCTCAAAACAAGGGAATTTGGGCCCATTTTACTGTCAGTTTAACCTTATAGGTTAAGGTTGTTCTCTTGTTTTGTTTTTTCTTTTTTCCATACTGGCACTTTCTTACTGTTTGGGGGGTTTTCTTGTTAGTTTTGGTTTGGTTTTGTTTTTTTTTTTCCCTTGAAATAAATGAATATTTGAAAGGTTGCTCAAAGCAATTTAGAAATTCATACATGAACCTCAGCATTGCAGTTAAGGACTGATTATAATTCTTAAATTTGAACAACACAGTCTGTTCGCAAACACTCATTTTGGCTGAGTAATGGTGTTTATGAAGAATTTTATATAAAAGTTGCCGTAAATAGTATCTTGGGGTTAGGTGATAACAAAGTTGGTTTTGGGCCTTCAGCACTGGGATGAGTTCTACAGCATGGTGCAAGTGAAATGAAAACAAAGCAGAAAGTGACTTTGACTCGCTCTTACTTACTTTAAATCCATTTTGTGCATCCCTTAACAGGCTTAACATTGAAAAGCTGCACTTGCCAGTGTAAAAAAATAATCAGGTACCTATTACCCACAGGGTACCAAAGAAACCCCAAAACCACAATAAACAAAAAAATCCCCAACCCTTCCTTACTAATCTTGACTGATGGTCCCGTGGCTTTTCCTGGATGTGGCCACTAGAGGCCCCGCGAAGCTCGCCACTGCGCTCCGCAGCGGCTCTGATGGCATTTTGGGGATGCTGACTTTGCCTTGAATTGCCCCTTCTCCTTCCCTTAAGAGCCCACCACCATCCCTGACACTTGGCCTTAACTTGGGTCTTGCGCTACACCCCATCCTCTCACTGTTGGAGACGCTGGAACCAGATGTTTTACGTACAGAATATTTTGACCTGGCTACAGGCTGATAAAAGCCTGGTTTGACTTTTGGCTTAACCAAGGAGAGCATAGATGTAATTTATAGCCCACAGATGCCAGGGTTCTGTTGAGATCGTCTACCACCAGCCTGTATTTCTATTTCAGTCTTTGAACAAAAAAGGAGTATTTATTTCCTGTGCTGACAGTTCCCTAGGTAAGTCAGTTTGGTGCAATGCCTGGTTTCTTAGAGTGTGTGTCTTGCAATTTTGTGCTCACAGAGGCTAAAGCAAAACTTTATTGCACTTCTGTGTTTGGCATTTACATCCTGTTTATGTAAATTCTTCAAACAGCTTGATTTGTAGTAGAGAAAAACAATTCTTGCTGTATCTTTTTGTCTTTTGAAGTGTCCATCCATTCTGAAAGAGGAGAACTTGTATGGAAATTAAGTAATTTGTCTAGATGTTTTTGTGAGACTTAACTTTGCAGTCTTCCAACAGATTCTGCTCATGTCATTACCAAACCTCAGACTGCAAGTTTTATGCACTCATTTTTCTGCTTCCATCTTAAAATTCTGACTGTATAAGACTGATTGAAAGGATAGGGCTAGGCTAGAAATTATTATGAAGGTTTGGGAACTGTGTTTCTGTGTCACTTGCAAAGGTATCACAACCTTTGTCAAGTACAACTGGATAATGACATTGGCATTTTGAACAGCAGGTTGGGGAGGTGGCGGACTGGGTTTAGTAGGAGTTTTCTGACAAGCAATTTGTGCTGCGTGGTGCCGTGAAAGCTGAAAGTGAACTACAAACTGGAGGATAATTTTGGTCTCATCAGAGCCAGCGTGTTCAAATTTAAACTGTATGACAGGGTGAGGAAGGTTGGAAACAAGATCTGGGAGTAGTGTCTCTTGTGTCCCCCAGTGCTTGTCGTCTTTTAGTCCGTATTGCATGTACTTGTTTTGGAAAACTTTCCAAGACAGCAACTGTCATCGGACACTTGTCTTTGCAGCGTGAAACACAATAGGGCAGCTGTGAGCAACTTTGATTTTTCTGCCTCTCGAGTGAAGCCTGAGAGGGTGATGGTCACATTCTGCTGCCTGTGGCCCCAGTAGTGCCTTGGAGTCTCTGGGTGACCCTGGCAAACTTTGTTACTGTTTTGAGTTCACCAAGGTTCAATTCAGTTGGATCATGACATCTAAAAATAGGCTTCAATTCCAGAGTGGATAGATGTGTTTTATAGCAGCACACATGGATAGGAGAGTGGGGGAAAGTGCAAAATAAGGTGGAGTTATTTGAGGAATACAAATGCTCCTGAAAATACTTCCCATTTAATCTGAGCTATCATTCCTTACTATGTTCCCTCTTCTGTACTAATTCTCCTTTTTTTTTTTTTTGGTTGCTTGTTGCCAAAATCTGATCATTTTAAGGCAAAAGCTTTCTCACAATTTTAGCAAACTGAGCAAGGTATGCAAGGGGAATGCAAGGGGAATTTGTTTATTCAGGAGTGTCTTCCAGCAGGAAGCAATGAACAGGAGCTAATTTGCTTGTGGGAGGGGAAAAGAGCAGTCAGATACAAGGAAGATACTGTGGTATGAAGATCTTAAGTTTGTAGCTAATAGTGCTTGAATGAAAGCACCACCAAAAGTGTGTATCAGCTTCAGAGAATGGGGAGAGCCCAAAAAAGAAAGCTGTTTTCAGCACTGGTCTAAAGTCACTGTGCTGGAATAAAAGCAGCATGAGACTATTTCAAATGCCTTGCAGTTTTAATGAACTAAGCCTCACAACATCCTTGAAAGCTAGGCAGGCTGGATTCTCATCTCGAAAAAGGGAAAGCGCAGACATTTTAACTTGCAATTTGAAAAGGAACCGTCTGAAAATGGCCACGGCTTTCTCAGTCTCTCTGCTCCCACCAGATTCCCTGGAATCAACTCAAATGAAAATGACTGTTAGTTTTGCAGAGTTCTGGGAAGGACAGAGGTGCTTTATTCAAGTTTGGATATTGTCAGTACACCAAATTAAAGGCAAAATGAAGTTTGTCCTCCTTTACATCTCTAGCTTGGACAGCAAAGGAGTGAAACGGGTGTAAGGGAAGATGTTCTGAGTGGTGTGTACTGGCAACGGTGTGAGAACCTGTGAGAAGGATGCAGCAAGCACAGTCAGTGCAGCTAAAGCACGCTGACCTTTCCTGTAGCCAGTGCCATGGAAGGGAGACATCATTAGTGTCCTGTAGACTTGGATTCTTTGGTCCAAATAACCAGGGAATTTCAGTGGGGGTGAGGGAACTTTAGGGACAAGTCTAAATCTCAAACAAACGTTTGAATCTGTAATGAGAGGCCTTTGCTGCTCTGTATCTTGTCCTTCAGACATGTGGGTTCTTCAGACCTCCGGCTTCAGTGAGTGAGTGGGTGTTCCTCAGAAAGAAGCCTGAGAAAGTGTAAAATCCCATTTCAAGTGGCTTGCCCAAGATTCACATCTGAGAGGTTAGAACCTGATTTCTCTTGCCTCTTCTCTGCTGTCACCATAGTGCTGGTCAAAGGGACCAGCTGTAGTGCTACAGCTGCTTCTGATGGGATGCAGCTTTAAGGAGGAGAGTGGAAATATCAGCAAGGGAGAGAGTATGTATCTGTCCAAGGCTGGCTTGCAGGGCTAACTCTTCAGAAAGTAGACTCAGGTAGGAAGGATCTCTAGTATTCATTTCACTGTCTTTTAATCAGGCACCTGATTAAAGGTGGTAGCAGAAGATGTGTGAACTCTGATCCTTTAAAAGGCACGTCTACTTGGTGGTTTCCAGGGACCCTTAAGTTTCCCACTGTGATTTTCTGTGTCATTCAGGTGCTTCTGGACATGCTTACTCCCCTGTACTTGTATATGATCTTTGTTACTAGTTGAGGTCTGAGGAGAAGATGGTGTTTGGGAAATGGCTGCCCTAGCTAGTGCATCCTGGGGTGTTCTCTTCTCAGAGACAGCACTTCCACCACTCACGTTACACAGCATGTGCCGAGGCAGCTTCTCCATGTGGGTTATCCACTCCTTCATGCAGTCTAGAACGATGGGGATGAGACTCACCACACCACCGTAATGATTCTTTGCTTCATCACAGCTCAAGTGATTCACAACGTCATGGGGGTATCTATGGGACAGAAGGAAACAATTAGCAGAGTCATCCCAGCAATGCAACCCTGGTGAGCCCACAGCGTCACCCTGAGATGAGCAGAAATGCACAGACACCCATTGCCCCAAAACAAAAAGGCACAGATAGAATTACATCTTGAGAAATGAGTCTTGCCAAACACACCATCCTGGCTGCTGGGCTAGATCTGGAAGAGTTCAAGAGCATGTACAGATACTTGCCCCACAGAAATTAGCTACATGCAGAGCAGGAGGAGGAGGAGGAGGTAAACTGCCTGAGCACTGCATGGGACTTCAGGGTATTAACCTGCCTGTAAGTGCATCAGTAAAACAAATGAATAGAACAAACCCCCTTTTTGTGGATGGAGGCTGGTAATGTTGTCCCAACAGCTGGAATAGTAAACTGGGTAGCACTTTTTACCTTCATTAAAGCCAGGAAGGTGTTAGAACTGATGGAGAAGTTGAGTAGGAATATACATTCTTGTGACAGTCCCCCAGCACTGAAAGAAACTAAGCTGGTGGAGTGACCTACTTAGCTCGGATGGCGCTCAGATCATTGTTGTGGCTAAGGAGCAGCTTGCATCTCTCCAAAATGCCATTGGTTATGTCGTTACCAGAATGCACGGTTTCCAGCTTGTGGCAGAGCTTGCTTAGATCATCACAGATGTTTAGGAACATGTTGAGGATACGCCTGTCCGTGGAATTGTTACAGTGATGGTCCATGTAGGACTGTACCTGTACGTGGAGAAAGACAGTTATGTGTGTTAAATTACATTTAACTTATGCTGCAAAGTCACTTGGGTTAGTGATGAGAAGCTGCTTTCTCTTGTGACTGTGCAGCCATGAGCTGCTATGGAAACTGCCACACCATGGCAGGTAGGAAGATTTCTAGAGCATGCCTGAGATGTTTGCTTGTCATTTATCATGACTGAAGGAGGCTGGGGTGATGGATCTGCTTGTCAGCGCACCAGTGAGCCTTCCTCCCTCTTTGAAGAAGTGTAGGAATACTGCAGCCAAAATCATAGCTCTGCGAGTGTGAGTGGAGTTTTCTGTCTGCTCTGAGCTGGGCACCCACTGCTGCTGCCTCAGCTGCCTTGGCAGAGCAGGGTGGAGGTGAGGGCAGTGACTAAACTGAGAATGGTTTGCAATAACAGTGTGGATGTGTTTGCACATACACACATTCTTCACAAGTCTTTATTTGGCACTGTTAGCTATAACTGTGAACTAAACCCATTTAACCTAAATTTTCCTTACTAACCTGTTACAACAATATTCCCTATTTGCCTTGAGCATTTTTGTTACTAAGAGTGAATGGCACTGCATGACAAAATGTTATGCCAAGAGATTAAATAGCTTCTCCAAAGAAATTACAGGCACTTCAGACATGAGTGGTCAGAATATAAAATACTGAGCGGCTGGTTGCCAGCGATAGCTGGACTCTAACACCTTTAGTGCTTTCTGTAAGATTTCAAGACAAGAAGGAAGAAGCTGTTCCAACATCGGGATGGTTTCTGCATACAGAAAAGCTATGCTATGTGCTTGGGCAAATTCTCAGCAGGGTTGTGAGGAAAATAAAAAATGGCCCCTAAGGGTCCATTTCTACTACAGATCCCTCCTTCCACACTGTTCGCCGAGCGTTGTGTCCTTGTGAGTGGCAGGATTTTTTATTGCTGCTGTGAGCAGAAATAGTCCTAAAGAGAATAGCATTTTAGCCTGGATGTTCATTGATGGGATAATGGGACTTCTTTTTGTCCATGCTAACAACAGAGAGTTAATGCATCTGTGTTACTAGGCTGGGGACCAAGAATATGGAAATAATGGCTTGGAAGAGCTGCCCAGCTCTGCATTAGGCCACTGCTGACTCTCGAGCTGCAGCTGGGGGAGTTTACGGACCTGTGCTGGGCTCATGTCAAGCCGGTAACTCACTGGGTTATTTGAATCTCTGGCTGAAGCAATGGCTGAGCAGCTTGTCTCACAAAACCACTTGGGGTTTGACTTTATACCCTGCTCCCTCCAGAAGTCTTCAGGAGCTGTCGTCATTCCCTGACCATGATGTGCTCTTCAGCGTTTCCACTTTACCATGCTAGTGGTGCAGTACAGTTTGCCTCCACTAAGTTCACATGTTACTGTATCACAAATGATGCCATGGATCAATGTAATTGCTGGAGTCCTTACCTACAAGGTTTCACCCTCACACCAAGCAGGCCTTCCAACCCTGCCAAGAAGCAGAGTCCAAGCTTGCTCAATATCACTGAAATATTGGCACTTTTTAAAACACCATAATGTTATACAAAATCTCGTTGCCTATATTTGGAAAAAAATGGTTCAGTGTAATGTCTGTCTCGATCCTCTTCAATGTTATGAGCAAAGTCCTTATATTAGAATTGAGAGAGCCAGCCCTTAGAAAAGAGAACCACCTCATTTCAGTGTCCTAATCCTAATAACAGCCTGGCTTTCACTCTGGCTTTGGCATCCATCTCGGTTTTGTGCCTGGGTTCTGCTGTCTCAAATCCACAATTCTAATTTGATTTAGATTTTTTTTTTCTTCCCCTTCTGTCTGCAAGTGGTCTGAGTTCTTTGCACTACTTAAAACATCCCATGTTATAAAAATTCCAAGACTATTCACTTACCAGCCCAGAAAACCCCTTATCCCGCTTGGGACTTTCAGCTCTCAATCCATCATCCTACCTCTGTAACACAGCCGTTATTTTTAATAAGCACTATAGAAAGATACAGCAGCACCAATACCAGGGGGAAGAGGCGAGCGTGCTGGTTACTACAAGTTAAGGATTACAGATTCTACGTGTGGCTGGGGAAGGAGGGTTGGTTTGATTGTTTTTCTTGTATCCTGTATTTCTGGCTATGCCTCAGCAGCACAATGACAGTGTTAAAGTAAATCATAAAGTGATGTTCAGCAATGAAATTCCTTCTCTGTGAACGAGAAGGCCTAACACAGGTATTTCTCTCCCCTACTTAATCTTTTGCCACTGGTTTGCAGAGTTATACACAAATGTTAGTAGAGAGTTTTTGTGCATCTTCCTTTAGTAAAAACATTTATTCATCTCTGAACTAGACCCAAGTGTGCGACAGCACCACGTTGGTCCCTGTTCTCATGGGCAGAGAGCTTTGTGCTGAATCCCTCGTACCTGGCTGATGCTTGCCACGGGTTTGATCGTGTCATGCGCGTTCTCTCGGGTGTGTTGCAATGCTCCAACAAACGTGAACTGCTGCTGCAGGAAGAGTTTGTAGTTCTGCTTTATGTTCCTTAGAGACTCCTTTACCTCGTTCATGTTTTCCCCTTCCTGGATTTTGAAGGAGAAGAAGACAAAGGAAGCTGACGAAGGAGAGAAAGGGAGCTACTTTTTAGAAATGATGCAATTTATGTATGTAACTCTTTCACCTGAGGTAGAATTATGTAGGTTAGTGGAAAACTCTTTAAAAAAAAAAAAAAAAGGCAAAAAAGAAGAAAAAAAAGATCATAGAATCACCGAATGGTTTGGGTTGAAGGGACCCTCAGAGGTCATCTAGTCCAACCCCCTGCAGTGAGCAGGGACATCTTCACTAGAGCCCCGGCCGGCCTGACCTTTAATACCTCCAGGGATGGGGCCACCACTACCTCACTGGGCAACCTGTTCCAGTGATCTCCCACCCTCATATTGAAGAACTTTTTCCTAATATCCAACCTCAATCTTCCCTTTTCTAGTGTAAAGCCATCACCCCTCCTCCTGTTGCTCCCTGCCCCTGGCACCAGCTCTTCCCAGCTTTCTCACAGGCACCTTGCGGTACCGGATGCTCTGTTGTGTCACAGCTCTGCAGGGCCAGAGCCCCAGGCAGCGAGTCCATCAG